ACGTCTAGTTGGTGACCATAGCTTTACATCTCCCTCTCCCGCCCCACCCCTCCTCTCCCTCCCCCCCCTACAACCCATAAGATGTTGAGCGTAGAATGCGTTTTTGTGGGATAGTTCCATTTTGGAAAACTGTCTTTTGTTAGCAAAGACATGATAGTGTTCGTCTCAAAAAAGCAATATCTCACCAAAACGCAGCCGGCACATTCAAATGAATTAGCAACTACGCCCACTCGTTGCCGACGTATGGAGCGCAGGTGACGGGGGAGTCGTATGCGATCTGCAAATGGTATCTTCAGTGTTGATGCTGATTGACTATCATGCAATAGATCAGTTCCAAAAAATTTGGTTTTCAGAAAAAGAAAAAAAAATGAGGAAACTCATAGGTACTTCACTTCCTCAAATAGGCCGAGCGGAAGTAACGACTCAACGAAAGGGCCGGTGAGACTGCAGATCTGGCTAGGCGCAGTACAGTTGATATTCGTCGCCATTCAGTCGGGTGGGAATCAGGGCACATCATTGTTGGGGATTCCGGTTCATCGTCCGTACGACCCTCCTCCCTGTTCCCTCCTCTCGAGGTGGTGATGCAAAAGTTGGCGGAGGAGGGGGAGGTGCGGGGAGGGGGGCGGCGGAAAGAGGGGAAGAGGGCGTATATAGCTCACATATAACAGGAATACCACGAAAAGTCAGCAACCTCTCTCAGAAGGTCAGAAGAGGAATACGAACCCCCCTCCCCCCCCCTCCCAACAACATGCAAACACGACTATACGACGACCCCCTCTCTCAGCGACCGAATACGACCCCTCCAACGAGGGAATCCCCAACAACGATGTGCTCTGGGTGGGGTTAAGAGCCATTGAGCTCACACGCTGGGTTTTCTACCAGTTGTTGTATTCTTTGATTCGATCATTAAGCGATCACCACTGGAGGCTCATTCCACGCCTCCTTACACCGTTCCGACTGAGTGCGACGTTATCAACTGTATATCCTACTATATATAACCCCCTAATTTTTGATACTATATTCATTCCTTATCCCAGAGTTGGGGACGTGGTTGCGGACTTCATTTAAACATGTCGGCAGCTGCGCTTCAGTTGCAACCATGACTTTTGGTCGCAGTAAAAGAGTAAGGACGCTAATTGTATCAGGTGGAAATAACCCGTTAACAATACCTCCTATGTCATGTTCAAGTAAAGTACGTCGCCACGCCCACTCCATCAGTGGGGTGTGCAGTGTATGATGGGCGTGATTGTGTGTTTGGCTGGAAGTTAGTAACTTAGTTCGATTCCAGCCACAGTGACTTCAAGCTGATCAGTGATAAGGGCGGATGTGATGGGAACATGCATGGTAGGTGACAGGGTATGATAACGACTGATAAGAGCAGCTAAGACCTCTTAAGAGAGGGAAGCTTCGGGGAGTTTATACAAGGTATCACAAACAAACAACGCCGTATGTATTAACGTCGCGGGCGAAGTTCTGTCACACCTTTTCGGAACTCAAAACACTTACCTGGAGAGAGGTAACCGGTAATGTGAGCACTTATCATCAAGGAGTAGTCTTTCTATTGGTACCTCTCGCTTGACTCCTGCTTCTTCTTCTGCAATATGCACAAGGATTTTATCCGCTACCATCGGCACCGACCCCTCCAGACGCTTCCTCAAACTCTTTCTTCCACCACCCTGACGCCAGCATGTTAGCTGCAGATGCCAAAATAATGGAGCTGAACAAGGACCGGCGTTCTCAATTATTGAAACACCTTCCACGACGCTAATGCTTCAAAGCGGGAGCATACAGTTTTGATGACGAAGCGAGGTTTGGGTTACCTGTGAACTCAGATTGAGGGAGCTGCGGGTCGTGGAAGTGCTGGATGAAGAAGCTGCTTTCCTCGGTCAATGCGTACGCAGCTGCGAGATCTAAAGCGTACCGTCGATCAGAAGGAAAAATTTTTCCGCACAGTCCGTCCTTCAACGTGACAGTGCAGCGCACTTCCCACTTCGTTTCAAAAAAGTTGGAGCCGTACTCTCCTCATCATTACGGACTGTCGGGGCGTGTCAGCCAGTAGGAGTGCGCACACTGTTTGAAGCCGTTCTCAGCCTTTTCGTTGAAACGCGTATGCGACAAAAAGTGGTAGAAAACGTAATACGAAGGATATAATACAGTAATGTCACTTCCTGGTTCAACGATTGGTGGGAAAAAGGAAAAAAAAAAAAAAAAACAGAAGCGGGCGCGGACGACGGCGCCAAATCGCAGCCGCACTGACGCGCCCGTAATGATGAGGAGAGTACCTCATGCAATAGAGCTGGATGGCCCTTACACTGATGTGGCACACGCATTGCTCCTTCTGACTGCTAGTTGCCCCCGTACTCAACCGTTTTATGAACGAAGAAATCCCCCACAACCCGAGTTCGAAGGTCAAGAGAATGGTGGGTCCAACTTTGCCGTCGCGTCTCCGCTCGCATTGTGAAGCGGATGCAGTCCATAGTGGGCTCCAAAAACTTGGCAAGATCCCGCAGAAATTGCTGTGCAATCTTGATCACAACGATCACAAGCCTCTCTATAAAAAGAAAGCTTAATTTGAAAAATGTGACAGAACTTTCCCGCCAACCTAATATTTTCAACAAGTAATGTAGGGTCGGGAAGGAGAGCGTGTATGGTGGAAGACCAGGGCAAGTCATGCGTTGGCGGGTCGTTAGCCGAGGGGGTCGCATTTGTCCGCTGGGTGAAAGGGATTCGTATTTGCTGCCTACAAAAAGCCTATTCTACTTGGATTTTCTCGTCTTTATGCGCTTTCCAACCGCTCCCCCGCTCCAAAACCGCTTGTGCCCACGGGAACCGGGGCAGTTGAAGCAGATTAAAGGAATTTTTGGGGAAAGCTACGGAAAGCGTGGTAGCGAAACGGGGAAGACTCAATTAGATTGGTGAGCAAGGTGCGTGCCAGAGAAGTTTTCGGAAATCTTGTGAGGAGGGGTTGTATTTTTGTAAAAGTTTTCCTTAACAGCAGGACGTGCACTGTGGGTGACTAATAAGATCTGTTTAAACTGGGACCTTGTCTCGTTCCTCCACACTCCTTACAACTAAACTGTGACCGCTACTATCATATAAGGGCAGCGGCTGAGTATGTGAACGGAGCTTATAAGAGTGACAGAACAGAAACTAATTCGACGTTATTACTCTAGTTCACGTGAAATAGGCTGCGACTTCGCTAATGATTGGTGATAAGGCCGCTGGCAAATGAATAATGTGAAATTACATGCATCATACGGATGAAATGTGAAGGAATTTATATTCTCATACTGCCTCCATCGAATAATCGCTTAATTGTGATGGAACGGTACTATGCCAAGTGGTTCAGTACAGATATCCTGAACATGATCAGTCATGTCGGAACGGTCGGATCATGCGGGTTGAGCCGACCCCGGCTGCGGTACATCTAGTGGGGCGCGAAGGCATCGCGTTTCGCGGGCAGGTTTATCCGTCAGCGCGGTGGCAAAGGTGCAACTGTCTTTAGACGCGGACAGAACGTTGTTGAGTTTGGCCTTTGGAGGAAAGAGGAGGATACTTGTGAAAGCTAGTAAGCATTGGTCAAAAAGTACCGAAAGTAATCTCGAACTGCTGAAAGCTCTGATTCCTTGGGGATTTCGAAAGAAAGCGTGTGAGTTTTGGTGTTATGTTTAGAATTTGTTGGGGAAAGTGCCAAGCCCCTAAGAACCCCGTTCTCTGTGACAGCGAGCGAATTCATTCACTGACCTTATTGTTAGTGTGTTTCTTCAACGCATCTTCTTGTGGGAACGAAGTACGTCCCATTAGGCTCATTAAGCTTCTTCGAAGAGGTGATAAATAAATGCAGCCTGTACTCAGAACATGCATGGCAGCATCAGAGTATGAGATCTCCGCTCATTTTTTAACCACTTATTCCAGGCACTGAAGCTGCTCCGATGTTTTGAGTAGGCAATCCTCTACGCATTAATGGCTCATATCTGTATCCATTGAGATTGTTGGTTGATTATTTCAAATTTTGTAATGTTCTCCCACACATCCATATTCCCTACAGTGCTGATACGCTCCCTACAACCCATCAGTGTTGCTCTGTTCGGTGCTGACTGACTCCTTGCTCAAGTCTCCCTTACACAGCGCCCGGATCCCCTCAGTGGGGAGTTCCTGATGGTGTGAAATGTTCAGCGGTTTACTCTGCCCAGCTTGTCAGCACTCACAGCTATGAGGCAGCGTTCAGACTTAACGCGCTGTACAGCGCAATTACGCGCGTTGCTGCGCTTTACAACGCGTTGGATCTGAATGCTGCCTAATGGAGGAACCAAAGATTTTGCCCATAACTCGTTACCGTGATGGTTATATCCATGTAACGAACAACGAACTGGAGCCAGAAGCATCAGTCAACAAAACTGAACAGTAGAAACAATTTATCGTAAAATTACAATGAAATATAATAGGAGTAAGAAAGCACCGGCATGATTAGAAATCCAAATTTAGAACGGCCACGGGAAGCAAGAATAAGGAGGCCATGGAGGCCATTCAAATCAAGAGAAAAGGGTGAGCTGAAGTGAGCATCAAATAGATATTATAGATCGGCATTGAATAAAATAACAAAGCCTAATTCGTTAACCCATCTAATCTGATTTGAAAAAAATCCTAGATACAAAGGAAATTATCATTTTGAAGAACGATCAAGACAGCTGATCACAACAATGGTCTTGTGGAAGTGAAAGAGGCGCAGTGAACGATCAGCCGGTATGCGTAGAATTCTGCTCTAATTATCGAATAAGCTAAATAAAGTGCTAGAAGAACTCTAATGAACGTTTCGGGACCACACGTGGGATACGATAGGAGGTTCTCGTCTCTTATCCTCCTCCTTTCTCCCTCAATTCTGGATCTCATATAGAGGAACACGTGTCCTGACCGTGAAGCAGTACTTCATAGATCTCCTTGTTCCTAACTCACTATGGAGGACTTCCATGATGATCTGCGCACAAGCAATCCATGCTGGTCTAGTTCCTCCGCCGACGGGGTTCGATCTGATAGGAGAGCTCCATCAATCTCCGCTGATTGTCGACAACTCGGAAGTTGCGAATGAAGTTTTGCGTCTCGAAAATTTTCTTCGATTCTATTTGCGGTACTGAAATCGGATCATCAGCTGAACAAACGTGAACCTTTGCTAAATACCCAAATCGCTGACTCACCGGAAAATCGTGACTTGCATTGGCGGAACGTTCGCAGAATGTTAGCGATCATATGCTGAATAAGGATCATCACGTAATTTCTGGAGGAATTATTTCAAAAGCACCTACCATTTTCTCGAAATTCACTAGGCCGTTGTAATAGGTCTTGTTGCCTTCGTGAATAAACGTCAAGTCTTTCAGGAGAAGTGGCACGAACGGTATAAGAGGTGGCGACATCTGAACAATATGAATGTTCAAAGTAAGTTGGGTACAGTTATTGAAGTACACCAGTTAACCAGGAATGGTCAACAGATCAGCCCGGCCATTCCCAATGAGGT